TTTTTTGGATTGTGCTGTAGTATGAAGACTGGTGGTGGAACCCAGTCTCTGTATTTCAAAACCATGAAGTGTCTGGTATTTCTACAAAACAAAACAAAAATTTTAAACTCTAGTTGGCCAATAGTAACTGTTATTTATACACTCACCTAATGTCAAGCCCTGTGCCTGGGTACATACCTCAGATGGTTTCATGAACTGGCTTTTTAAGCTAGCAGATGCAGCTTGTAGACGTTTTTGTGTGTATTTGTCCCACAGGTTTTTAAAAAATAATTTTTAAGTACTTTTTTTGTTTCTTGTTGAGCCAGAATCCTTTTCCTGATTGCTCAAGGGGACTTGTAATCAGTGGGAGTTGGACCAGGAGGTACCATCTTTCATTTAAGCCCAGATATACAAACTAGCTATCCAGGCCATTCCTTTGGTAGCCCATCCAAACCTGTCTTTGCTTCCTTTCAGTGTCTTCTCCACCTTGTGACAAGTAGATTTTGGAAAAAGTTACCTGTGGTGACCCTGAACTTGCACCTTTATGAGACTCAGCAGGAAGAGAAGTCCAAACCCATCAGCCATTACCCTACTCCCTACAAAAAGGACCTGTCTTTTGACATTGTAGAGCTCATGGAGGAGATAGAAAAGAAGGTGAGACACTCACCTTATGCAGGGAGTCACAGCCAGTGCAGACCTTTGTCTGCTAGAGTATAAATCCCTGGAACTGGTTGTCCCAGTCTGCCCAAGTTCCTCCTGTGGATGAACCCTTCCTTTGGGGTCCAGTTGTATCCCAGTCAGAATGACGTGCATTTTTTTCCTCTTTCTTAGGCACAGCTTCTTAAGTTCTGAGATTCCTCTTTGTCACTCAGTCCTCTGCTCACTGAGGTGGGTGCTGTAGTTCTCTCTGGCACCATAGCATGGTGTGAAGATAGACCCATGAGATACGTGCCAGCTGCTTCAACAAGTGTGAGAGGTACCTTGCTCTTTCCTGCAATTACATGTTGAAAAATTAGAAAAATTAAATAAGCAGAAAATTAAAAAATAAAAATTACCTCATTCCACTAAAGTCAGCCACTGCTAGCATTTTTCTTCCCTATTTTCTTTGTATAAATATACATGTAACTTTTTTTTAATGAGATCATGGTATGAAGATTTTTCTAGGTCAATGTGATGTTTAGTGACTGCATGATATAGCATTGCTAATAGAGATATTTTAATTTATTTCAGCAATCTCCCAATCTTGTACATTAAGGACTTGTAACAGATGTTTATGCATATATCTTTTTGAACATCCCTGAATTATTTCTTGAGGGTACTTTTTAAAGCTGGTGTTTTATATTGCCAAATTATAAAACTCTTCTTTGAACACAGATGTTTGCTTTAAACTTTTGTTTTTCAACCTTGGTGCTGGTACTTTGTGGATTCTTTCCAAACAAAATCTTGTGTAGAAATCCATTATATAG